TGAAAGTAGGGTTGCCATGGAGGTCGGGGGGTTTTTGGAGAGGGAGAAAAGGAAATCAGATGATCGTAGGCCGGCCATGAACGCCGTGAGGATGACTTTATCATCGTTTTTTCGCCACCTGTAGGGCTTCGGTGTTGAAGCGGGTGACAAAGCTACGCAACGACTCCTCCTCAGTCTGATAGATGTTGAGGAACTGGGTTGCCAGACACCTCTGGCGTTGGGCTCCAATGAAATGGCTGAGAAAGGAGTCACTGAGGTGTTAGAAAGTGGAAACAGAGTCTGTTGGCAGTTGACTAAACCAGAGTCGAGCCGACCCCTTGAGTGTTACGGGGGAAAGCCCGACACATGATTTCATCGGGGAATGCATGGAGGATCATGAGGGTTCTGTAGGTCTCCAGGTGATCGACTGGGTCCGATGTACTGTCGAAAGAGTCGATTGTGGACATCTTAAACTTGGGGGGCAGAGGTTTATCCCTGATGGAGGCAACGAATGGGGAGTTGGCTGTGGTAGAAAGTTTATGCTGTATGTTCTGCATGACTCCTTGGAGCTGGAGCTTCATGGCTTGGAGTTCTGCATTCCAAAGAGGAATGTTGTTACCACCGGAAGGCAATGGAGGCTGGACGCTGCTGGCCTCTCCTTTAGGGGTTGGTGCCAGGGCCGATGGATGTGGGGCTCGAGGTGGTGGATTTATATTTGGGGGAGGGGTTCGTAGGCCCTCCAAGTTGGGTGGATAGGGCTGCTGGATAATATGGCTCGGTGCTCGTTCTTGGTTGGGTGGAATATCTGGAGGTGGTGGGGGGGGCATGAGAAGGTTTCTTTGGAGTAGGGCATTAATCAAAGCTTGGTTCTGCTCAGCCCGCGCGGCTAATGCTGTTGGTGAGCTCGGTAAAGTACTGTGATGGGTTGTTTGGATTGGGAGGGTCGGCTTGGTGATCAGGAACATTGGAGTGGGACCCCATGGATCTAGTTGTGACCATCCACCTTCGCAGGTGGTAGGAAGGGGTTATTGGAAAAGGGCCTTCGGCGACAATGAGCACAACTGGTGCACGGAGTAAGAGAGTTCCCATAGACGGTGCCAATTGATGATTCCGTTTGAACCAGGTGGAACGGGTCGGACTGATCCACGCTCCTCAAGCCTGTGTCCGAATGACCAAGCCCACCAGAAGACCTGCACAAGAGTTCAACTGGGAACGGGGAGTCCTCCAGCGAACCCTCCGACGAGCAAGTTAGAGAGAGAAGTATAATGTAGAGCTGGACTAGAGATAGAAAGCTTAACCTTCTTCCCATCTTCGACGTCTGATTATATCCTTTGGTAATTATTTCGTTGTCCTTTCCGACTTGTCACATTGGCCGAAAGTCTATGCTCTAGCTTACCTTGTTCATGGTGAAGCTGTTCTGTCCCGACGGAGAGGGGTTATCGCAATAAATGTTGTAAGGGGCTTCATTAATGGCGATGTGCAGTGGCCATAACTTTGCAGATCTTTATCTGCTTATGTGGCTTGCCCTTCTCTTGCCGTGTGTTTTGATGTCATTGGTTCTCATTGCTACGTGGGGTTTCAGCCATGCTGGACTTTAGTATTTGAGTTGTTAGGTTTTTATTCTTGGCAATCCCGTTTGACAAAACTCCTTTCAGTTGTAATTTTATTTGCTCTTTTATTTCAGTGAGGCTATGAGTTTCTTAGATGCGAATCCAACCCGAATTGTGCCGTACAGAGAAGTTTGTGATGTTAATACTTTCAAGATTGCCACTTCACTGATTATGACGGGGATCGAGCTGCCCGGTCAGCTCGCGGGGGTCCAGGAGGCAGCGTCCCTTGGCAGGTCCGGGGCAACGCCACGGCGGGGTCGAGGGGCAGTGCCCTGAAGCAAAATACAAAATTGTATTCGTAGTTGCATGTCCGTCCTTGCTCGCTCGAGCGAAGGAGTGCTTGCTGGAGCGAAGACTGCGTCTAGCAAAAAACCTAAAAGAAATGAATGTGCGCTCGAGCGAAGCCACTTATGGAAAACACGCGTTTTTGGCTCCTCGAGCTCGAGTGAGAGAGTCTTCGCTCGAGCGAGCATCGCGATTCAGATTTCTATAAGTACGTGTTTCTGTCAGATTTTAGGATTATTTCTCCAGATCTTCTTCTTGGATTCTAAGGTTTATATGTGGGGATATTTTGCTAGTTTTCTTTGATGTTTTGATTGAGTATTCAACTCATGGTTTAAAGAGTATACATCAAATGATTATTTGTTTGTTCTACATAAAAGAGAGAGTTGTTCTTCGGTGGATTTTAAAGAATTCGAGCCTGAAACTTTGGTGGATTCTGGAGTGGCTCATCGTCAAGACAATTCCGAGGTGAAGATGGGGTTGGAAGAGACACATAGAGGTTGGTTCAATTCGGGCGTGGATTCGCTAGGTAATTAAGAGTATACTTGTGTAATTCCTTTATATCTTCTTAGTGGATTGTTTTGTGGCTGTTGCCCGTGGTTTTTTCATCACAATTAGAAGTGTCTAATTGTGATTTTTTCATATAAAATCATTGCGTCGATTTGTTTTGATTGTTTGATTGGAATTGTTATATATTGCTTAAAATTGATACATAATCACAAATCAACATCTAGGGGATTTCTAGATTTTTTATGAGTTATGTGTTGGGTCTTAAATGGTGAGTTATAATTTTTATGAACTTACTTATGTCACACTTTCTAATATATTCATATATTTTGAAGATAGTTTATACATATTTTTTAATATTAAACAATGTATAAGAGATAATTATTAATAATTTATTTTAAAATAATACTTCTCAAAATATTGGCGTAAATAATGCTACTTATGGTGACTTCAATTCGAAAAGGTCCAATCCCAAAAAATCCGAAACCCAAAAATTAACTTCTAGGGATCCACAATAGATGTTCTCACATTTTCCATTCCACTTGTGGAAAAATTTTTATGCGCTGTTGTTGAAAAGTTGGTAAAAAAATTAATTTTTAATTTTTTATTAATTCTAAATCACATCACATTTTATATAGATAAAATAAATTTAATTTTTTATCAACTTTTTAAAACACTCCATATTTCAAGAAGACATTACATAATAATGTTTTTTATTAATAATTAATATATATATTATTTATTATCTTCAAACATTTAATTTAAATGTAATAAATTAATATACATATTATTTATTATCTTCAAACATTTAATTTAAATGTAATAAAATTTATTATTAAAGTTAATAAAGTAGCATATGTATGTATGTTATTCGTATATAAAAATTATTTTCACCCATGACTCCTCTGCCACGTGGTAAATTTATGAATGCGCTCGTGACGAAACGAACATCACAGCGGGCGATGTTATCATTTTTCTACTGTTAACTCGTGACGAAACGAACATCACAGCGGGCGATGTTATCATTTTTCTACTGTTAACTACTCTTCACACTCACTCACACACACTCCACTTTTGAAATTCAAATCCTAGTTGTTCCCTCAAACTCCCCCAAATGTCGTACTATATAAATTATTATTATTAAAACCCTAGCCCTAACCCAAACGCCCTCAACGGTCGAATTCCCAAACGGCTAATCCTTCTTCTTTTCTCTGTCTCCATTTTGTTCTCTCATCAAATCAAATTTCAAACCTTACTGATCTCTCAAACACCTTCCTCAGACAGCAAAAGATCGAAACAATTCTCGTATTCGATTCCTCTTCCACAATTCACTCATTTGTGGACATCGCTTTTCTCAGGTTTTCTTTCCTGATCTCTGAATTGTTGTTCCATTTGATTTATTCTTCTCTTATGTCTTTGTGTGTGTGTTTGGTCTGAGAATTGATTAAATTAAACCAAACAGTGGTTTTTGTGTTTTTTTATATGGTTTATTTATTGTACTTACTGGTAATGATTTGAATTAGACTTGTTGATTTTGATTCTGTTAAGCTAGACCCTCTTGATTTTGGAATTTATTTATTTATTTATTTGCTTCAGATGTCAAGCTTTTTTAAGAGGATCCATGGTTTGTTTTGGAAAAAATTAGTTTGAGGAATGTGTAAGTGAAATTTACTTGATTAGCAGTTTTTAGTTCATATTTAACCCAAATATTGTTGAGTCTGCAAAATCATAAGTTTACAAGTAAATATTCTACTTCTTATATACCCTTTTGATGTAGGTATTCTTGGTGAAATATCTTTGACATGTCACTTAAGAAGCTGAACACACCTTCTTATTTTTCATATGTAAAACTAAGAATTAGAGTAATTGAGAAATTGAACTGCGATTGGTATCAGTATCAATGTAGCTTACTCTGTTTCCTGTAAATAACGGGCATGGACATTAATTTCAGATGCCTTTTCCACATCATGTTGATCATTTTTACATTAGGGTTTAGGGTTTAATTTCAGAAGCCTTTTCCACATCATGTTGATCACTTTTACGTTAGTTTTTTTTTTGGCATCCTTCACATTAGGGTAAATCGGGGCTTTTCTTTTTGTCAAATCAATTTAATATAATGCAATTCATACGGTGCATATAGTTCATGATGGTTTATAAAGAAAAATTGTTATTGGCAGGATAATTGCTTCAACATGTCCAAGGTCCAGAACGACCCACTTTTGCAAGTGGAAACCACATGTGGATCTCTTTTATATGAACTCCAGGTTTTTCCACGGACCCTTAATATATACATATCTTTCTAGTTCTTCTTTTCCCTGTAGTTGAAATGTCTTATCCTTAACTTGTCAGCAATCTTATTCTACTCCTGATTTATTGGTTAAATCAGATAATATGGGATGAAGTTGGGGAATCCGAAGCTGAAAGGGATAAAATGTTGCTTGAGCTTGAACAAGAATGTCTAGAAGTATACAGAAGAAAGGTAGATAGGGCTAACCGATGTAGAGCTCAGCTAAGACAAGCAATTGCAGATTCTGAAGCAGAGCTCGCGGCTATCTGCTCTGCAATGGGAGAGAGACCGGTACATATCAGGCAGCAGGTTAGTATTATCTCTGAATAGAAACTTGGACAGTTTTATTTTGTTGCAGTGTGCACTTGTAAACCTCAGTTTGGAATAGTTTAGGTCGTATGAAAGTTGACAATTTGGAGATGTTGAAGTACAGTTTTGAAAAACTATGCCATGGTGGTTCTTAATGTTTGATTGAAACAAGCATAATGATTATGGGCAATTGACAATCATTTATGACCAAAAAGACATGTAATCACTGCGGAGTACGAGACCTGAAACTAAAACTTGCCCTGGTCTGATAGTTGGTGCATAACAATTTAAACTGGTCTTTTTCAGTCTGATCAAAACCCTGGAAGCTTGAAGGAAGAGCTCAGCACTATTCTTCCACAACTAGAGGAGATGCAGAAGAGGAAATGTGATAGACGGAATCAATTTGTTGAAGTTCTGGAGCAAATTCAGAAGATATCAAATGAGATACATAGGTCCTCTGAATATACTCCGTCCAGCACAGTTGTGGATGAAACTGATTTGTCTTTAAGAAAACTTGAAGAGTTGCATAGAGAGCTTCAGGCACTTCAAAAAGAAAGGGTAATTATTTTTCATTTTGTTCTATTTTCTTTTCTTTTTCTACCAGTCTTTCAAACATTCTTCTCTTACTTCTCTTGATGTTTCTTTACATGCAGAGTGATCGAATGAACCAAGTGTTGGACCTCCTGAATACTTTGAATTCACTGTGCTTGGTGCTTGGTATAGATTTCAAGCAAACAGTTAGTGAGGTTCACCCCAGTCTAGGTAACGATTCTGAAGGAATGACGAACATAAGTAATGAGACTATTGAGCGGTTGGGAATTGCAATAGAAAGATTGCGAGAGGTTAAAATACAGAGAATGCAGCGGGTAAATAATGGTTTAAATAAGTTCCCAGTAACTCCGAAATCATTTTTCTTGTTTAATTTGTTGACCCATTTACCTTTCAGCTGCAAGATCTTGCAACTTCAATGTTGGAGCTTTGGAATTTGATGGACACACCAATTGAAGAGCAACAGATGTTTCAGAATGTTACCTGTAACATAGCTGCTTCAGAACACGAGATAACAGAACCCAACACGCTTTCTGTGGATTTCATCAATGATGTGAGTGTTACTGATTTTGAGCACAAGTCATCTGACTTTCTGTTTTGTTAGTTCTCATGGTGCTTTTGTTTGTGACAAGCAGTCTTTTTCCTTTTTCTAGGAACTGAAAGAAAAGTAAATTTATTATGCAGGTTCAGGCAGAAGTTTCTAGGCTGGAAGAGTTGAAAGCAAGCAAAATGAAGGAGCTTGTTTTGAAGAAGAGGTCAGAGCTAGAGGAGATTTGTAGGAAGACACATTTGATTCCTGAATCAGATAGTGCGGTGGAAATTGCTATTGAAGCTATAGAGTCTGGTATTTTAACTTGTTTATAAGAGAAGACTGATAGTGATGCTAATATCTCTGTTATGTCTTCCAATTTTATTTATCAAATTTTGGGATACAGGAGTTGTGGACCCTGCATCTGTCCTTGAACAAATTGAGCTTCAAATTGCTAAAGTCAAAGAGGAAGCTTTTAGCAGGAAAGAAATTCTTGAAAAAGTTGAGAAGTGGCTGGTTGCATGTGAGGAGGAGTGTTGGCTTGAGGAGTATAACAGGGTTGGTTGTTTTCTTTATCGTCATATTTTCTATTTTTTTAATTTTAAATGAATCTTGCTTAATTGTCACCCTGATTGCTTGTTTAGGATGATAACCGATACAATGCTGGAAGAGGTTCTCATCTTACTTTGAAGCGTGCTGAGAAAGCTCGTGCTTTGGTTAATAAACTTCCAGGTATGCTAGAAGCTTCAACTAGAGAAAATGGGATCTAGGTTTCAACAGTGGGTCAATGTTTTGTAGCTGCATTTGTCGAAGTTCAGTTTGACCTAATCATATACGTGCTGCTGTTTCAGCTAAATTTAACTGTGTTGTGTTGGGTCAGGAATGGTGGAAGCATTGGCTTCAAAAACTGCAGCATGGGAGGACGAGAGAAGCATTGAGTTCACTTATGATGGTGTAAGTGTTTCTCTCTATTGTTCTAAATATTTGAGTTTTATAACAAGTTGGTTTCAATTACTGTATATTCTGCATTCTTATTTACTTTTTTTAATGTACTCGTTTTTAAAAAATTCCTTTTTATGTGCCTGTCCAGATACGTCTTCTTTCTATGCTTGAAGAGTATACTATTTTACGGCAAGAGAAAGAGCAAGAGCGCAAGAGGCAGAGGGTAATATAGGCTTCCTATTAGACTCAATCATGGATTCAACTGGTTATTTCATATCCAAATTGTATGTAATTATGACCTTTAACAAGATGTTAAATCAATTTCAGGACCAGAAGAAACTTCAGGGGCAATTAATGGCAGAACAGGAGGCACTTTTTGGTTCAAAACCAAGTCCAATGAAGCTCCAGAGTGGGAAAAAGGGTCCTAGATTGTCATCTGGTGGAGTAGTGACGACTAATAGAAGACTTTCTGTTGGAGGAACAATGCTACAAACTCCAAAACCTGATCCTCTTCACTCCATGAAAGCTACTCCTAATACACGTCAAGCCAAGAAGAGTGATCGTCTGCACCCAAATGACCAGTTACATCACCCCCAGGATAATGCATTTGCAGCTTTATCAGCTGGTAATTTTCTTCAAACTATAATTTTCGTTTCTTTTCTAGTTGATGTTTTTGATAGATTTCTTCAATTGCTTTTAAAGCTTTTTATCTGTTAAAAAAATCAACAAGTTTTGAAATGCACTAGAAGCTTTTTAACATAAGTTGCTTTTCGAAACATGACAGAAAGGAATACATGCATTGGATAAACAATGTGTCATTGAAGACATCCTAAAGTTTGTGTTGTTGAGCGGTTTTTTTATTTTATTTTAACAATAATCATATAATGGCTTGTGCAGTAGGCAGGAGAGACAGGGCAATAGAGCTATATTTTTAGTTTGTGCAAACCATGACGCAAATACCTTAACTATATATATTTATTCTGTGTATCATCAATATTGTTTTTCACTTTATCATCTTAGGTAGAAGAGGCTTGGATATTGCTGGTCTCCCTCTAAAGAAGCATTCTTTCAATGCAGTAAATGCTCGTGAAGTAGAGTCACCCCTAAAGAGGAAACCCTTCTCGCCCATCTCTTCCACAGAATCATCCAAGTCCAACGCAGCAAACTTAATCGAAGACGTGAACAGAAAGCAGAATGAAATGATATCTCAGAAATTACTTCGAAGCAACAGTACCCAATTCACTACTCCTTCCAAGTTAATGTCTGCTACTGCAGAGGAAGAGAATAGGACTCCTAAAGTAATGTCAATCCCTATGCCCCCTACACCTTCAACGGTGTCAATTCCAATGCAGACAGCGATGACACCAGCTGCTCGTCCTCTGGTTCCTTATTGTGGTGGTAAACCGGTTGTTGAAGAGATTATTCCTGAAGAGATTGAATACTCGTTTGAAGAAAGACGAGCGGGTTTCGTGCTTCCTAGAACACCACATCTCAAGACAGTAATACAAGTGTGATTTGTTGTTGACAGCTTAGGTGAACTTGACTCTCATATTATTGTTATTGAATGTTTTTTTGTATTCTTTTTGTTTCTCTGGATTTGTGGGGTTGATAAGTCAATTCTAATTGGCTTCTCTAATTGTGTACATTGTCTACGAGTTGTTCTAAACGTGGACCTATATTGATATTGTTCTTTTCTGATCAATGTGATCTTCTCTTTAAGTTTTGGATGTTTTATGCCATTTATGTGACTGAATTTCAGGCAATCCGATTTTTCTTCTTATTTCTTCAGCAATTTTTTATTTTCTATTATTAACCCCTTTTTTGGGGCAAGGATTGCCTAGTTTTCAGGCTAGAGAGTTGCGCCACCAATCCCATAAAGCAGTAACCAGTTTCAACCATTCAAGCCCTGGAAGTTTCTTTTTCCATTTTCAACCCTTTCAATTGCTGGATAACAATAAGACGCATGCACTTGCAGTTGTCTGGTATTTGTTCATTTGCAGGTGCAAAACATCAACATTGCCTTTTTCTTTGTTCCACTTCAAATTATAGAAAAAATAAATTTTTTTTTTGTAAGTTAATTTATTGCCAAAATATACTATATTGCAAAACATCGGACTTGGAATCAACCACAGCGGAGAACTTAGAAAAGAGGCAATTCAAAAACAATTCTAGCTTAGAACGAAAATCATACAGATAAAAGAATATGAATTATACAAAATTAAAATGAGAAAACGGACATACAATTATAGACTCAGATACGACTATAACAAAAATTGTATAAAAAAAAGAACTTGTTATACAAAATCAAAATGAGAACCAATGAAATCAAAATCATAGAAAGACTACATATTGACTTGCTAAAACATACACACACACAATTTGGGATTCTGCATAATTAGGATTTTGAATTTGGCAGATTGTTAAAAAAACAAAATATAAAAACAAAATGGATTTGCAAGTTGGAGTGGCAATAACAGTAAATTAGTCAAAACAGTAGGCCACCTAAATTTTTTATGGTCAAACTTTAATTTTACCTGAAAAGACAAAGAACAGGTCAGAGGTTGGGAAAATTGGCGTTACCTTTACTTTACAGCTTTTAATAATTATTAAGTTTCAATTTAAAAATTAAAAGCTATTTTCTTTTCCCATATGTTCTTAAATTTTTTATTCAAAATTTTACCAACTTTCCATTTATTAATTCCCATTTTATTAAATTTCCAAGACGGACTTCAAACCATTTCCTTAACCAAAATTAATACTTTAAATTTTACAAATTAAAATATTTGATTATTAATTAAATTCTCCAATATTAAATTAAAATCCCCCCTCTCCCAATTTATTTTTTTATTTTATTTTCCATTTTTCTACTTTTTATTTTCCTTTGCTTTCCACCTTTTCCTGCAAAACCCTAATTTCTTCATCCTTTCAACAATTTCTGAAACCCAAGAAAATTTTTCATTCTTTTTTTAATTTTTAATTTTTGAAAAAAAAAATACATGCGTCACCATTGAAGCTCTGAGCTTGCTCTTCAATGGCTGAAGCTTACTGGTTTTAACTGTAGAAGTAATTTCTCAGATTTTGATCTTTCTTCTTTGACTTCAGCCTCAACAATTTCTGGGTTTTGCGAATTTCGAAGTGGGTTTTCCATAATTTTTCTGGGTTTTGATTCTCTTCAACTGTTTGAGCTCTTATATGTAGAATTTGAGTTTTCGTTTTCGTTTTTTTTTTAGGGTTTTGTGATTTTTTGCTTTGATTTCTATGAATGGAGAGACAAGAAGAGATTAATCATCACAGTTATGGGGTTACAAGGGGTGATGAGGCTCCGGAGAGCTACATACTGCCGGCGAGGACCGAAAACCCAAGCCAATTGAGCGGATCGCCGATTCCGCAACCGTCCACGGCGGTGATCACGACGGCGACACCAGTTTCAGCGGCGGCGCCGAGCACGGAGGCGTTGAAGAAGAAGAGGGGGAGGCCGAGGAAGTACGGCCCAGATGGGTCTCTCAGGCAAACTCTGTCGCCGATGCCGATATCGGCTTCGATTCCGCTGACCGGGGATTTCTCAGCTTGGAAACAACCATTGAAGAAGAAACAAAAGATGGAGTTTGAGAGTTTGGGTAAGAAATTGAATTGAATTCCTCTTTTATATAGATGTAAGTTTTTTGAATTTTTATTGTATATTATCTGTTAATTTATCCATTGATTTACTGTTTTCTAGGTTTCAGATCATGATCTGATCTCTTGCTAAAATTAGATTAGAATCTGTCATAGTTTTGGGAGATACTCTTTTACCAATTATTGATAGGTTTCCAAATTTTATTATTTTATTGTTTTGTGTGAAAACTAGACCTACTCATCTGGTTTAGGGCCAGATCTTCTGTTTCAAAGTTTTGTCTTTTTGTCTTCATTGCATTCTCAGTCATATGATGTGATGAAAATTTGAACCTCTATCTGAGATATGGGATAGAAATCTCGTATTTAGTTTTATTTACGAGAGATTTAAGGATATTCATTAAATTTGAGAAGAGAGAGTGGGACCCTTACCTCTCTAGATCTTCAGAAATTGTCACATAAGTCCGGAACAGTATGTGACTATATGTTTGATCTATGGTGTTTCGGGAAGACTGGATAATTATTAGATCTAGAATAAATATTGAGAGTAAGGTCAAAAAATAAGAAACGTCAATAAAAAATTGTAAATGAGATTGGATCAACATCTCTTATCTGCCACTAACCCAATCGCGTAGTCTTTAATGATACCACCACCGCCACGTGATATCACGAGAGTTCAAAATTATGGCGGACATCCAATCGTATACCGTTACGTGATATCACGGTTATACCCAATAATTACTAGTAGATTTGGAAATTAGGGTAGACATGACATATTGACATGGAGGGAATCTTTTTCTGTTGAATATAGAAATTTTTTACCTTTGTGTGGTGGAAAAACAGAAAGATGCTACAAGTAAACACTTAAAAGTGAGTAAAAACTGTTGGGAAGTGCCAGCTTGTTTTATTGATGATGTCAACAAGTGTATTGATGTGACCAGACACAAAACTGTCTTCACACCCAATAATTGCATGAGACATAAAAGAGGCAGAAACAAGAATGAAGAGTACTAGTGGCTGATGATGATAAGGTAGAAAATGATTGAACATCTATTGAGCTTGACATGGGTACGCTTGGAAAAATATTCTTTGCCTTTGATGAGATAGATTTTAAATTGAAATTAATGCTTTTTTAGAATATATTTTCCTAGCTCAAGTAATTTTGAATTTATTTTCTAAACTTATGTTGTTTTGTGAAGTGATATTCGTGTTCTTTTATAACACAATTTTAATTAAGTTATCGTGAAATCTTTTAACATTTTTAAAACGTGAAGTTGTGTTTCGTAAAATAGCATGAATATGGTAAATAAATTCAAAACAATAATTTGTGTTAAGAGTGAGGATTTGGTAAATAACTCGGCAAAACATCTCTCGTTTCATTAAAGCTTACCATCTTCGATAATGGACTGTTTAGCTATGTACTTGTTTTCTAACCCCCAAAATGCTAGCATTGTACTTCAAAAAAAAAATTTACCTTTCAAAACTTTTTTTTTTTAATTCTACTGCTGCCGCTTCTTCTTTTTCTTCTTCTTCTTCGTCAATAAATAAAACTTATAAAATCAATTTCTGATGTCCTGAAAGTTTCTCTAATTTAAAATCAAGCTTATCATGAATTTCTGATTGTATATCAATTCTAAACAGCACGAAAAAGTAGAGAATGGCCTTAATTATTTCAATAACGCTGAATATTTACCAAGTTCACCTGAACATCAAAATTCTTAGTATATGTCATCAGCTCAAGTTCTGTTATTTTGGAATGAACATCTATAAAGGTGACAGAATCGTTGTAAGATTTTATGTCTCGCAGACTCTTAATCTTTTGTATGCACAATTTAATTTGATTCACACAGTTGTGTATCTCGAAGAAAAAGATGACTCTGATGCTTGTGCATGCCCTTTTGTTTGATTGTTGTCTGGTTTTTTTTGTGAGATCTTGTGGATTTGGTTTGGGTTTCACAGCTTGAGATTGTAATTGTTAATGTTTTAGTTCAAGTGGATGACTTCAATGCAGAGTTGACTGCTTTCCTTTGAGCAAATGTTTTCTTCAATTTTTTTTTTTAAACTTATTTTATGTTCCCCTTTTCTTTTTTTCATTTTTTTTTGGTAGGTAATCGGGTAGCGTACTCTGTTGGTGCAAATTTCACACCTCATGTGATCACTGTTAATGCTGGCGAGGTACTTTTGTTGATCTGTAAAAATATAATTGTGTTTTTATGTGATTTTTATTAGTGCCTTATCTTAATTCGGCTACATATTTAGTCAATTACTTGTATTATTGTTTGTGATATGTTGACTCTAATAAATGCTGTCATTATATGAACTGGATCCTTCTCTAGGTCAGAGATTTTGCTGGATGAATGAAAAGTTCCTTTCGTTTTGTCGAAATATAAAAAGATTTATTATGTAAATAAGCGTTAAGAGTGAAATTTCTGAGCATGGGAAAACAGTTTCCTCAACAACCCCCCCCCCCCCCCCCTCTTTCCTTTCTTCTTCTCTTCTTCATGGTCCCTTGCTGCTGTTTGGTCGTCTCTTCTTGCTCTATTTATTTTGTTTGAGGTAGTACAGAATAATCTCGACAGAAAGGAATATTTAACAAGGATAATAAAAACAATTGCTTACATACTTGACGATATTAGTGTTTGCTTTTACTCTTTGCTTTTAGCCCTTGAATTTCTAAAATTTTAATTGACTTTTTTTAAAAAAAAATTACCGGAGATAATAGAGGTTGTAAATGTTAGTCTTGATGTAAATTGTAACTTCACTTTTGATAAGTGAACTGTTGCTTAATGGTTCTTTTATTGATAACGTCAATAAAGATGAATAGTACACTTATGTTTTGTTTGGTTGGGGGATTTGAGGAGTGATTTGGAAAGGGAAATGGAAAAGGTAGGTGAAATGTGAATAAACATACCTATATTTCACCTAATTTTACACACCTTTTCCCTTTCCCTTTCTAAATCCCTCTCCAAATCTCCCAACCAAACACAGCGTTAAATTCTTAATTATTTAGGGGAGAAAATTAGAGGAAAATGAAAGGAATAATTTCGAGAAGTATCTGCTGCCTGTTGAGACATATGGGTGATCTATAATTTGTTTGTCATAGTTTAACTCACAATTAATACCTAAGATGGTAAAGATGATACAAGGGAATATATAATGAATGTATTCAAATAGGCAAACTTTATGTTAATTTTGAATTTTCGGAAGGCTTATTGATAATATCACAAGGATGATTGTGCACTAACTACTCATTATACTTGCTATTTTTAAGGATGATCTTAATGTACATTATTACAAAATTTGGTATCTATGTCCATGATAGCATTCTTGGTTCTGTTCTACTTGTTTCAGGATGTTACGATGAAGGTCATATCATTTTCTCAACAAGGGTCTAGAGCTATTTGTGTTCTTTCAGCAAATGGTGCAATTTCAAATGTTACCCTTCGTCAGCCTACTTCTTCTGGGGGTACTTTAACATATGAGGTGCCAACCTTTTCTCTTCATTTTTCCAATTTTTTTAAGCAGTTGGTTTGCAGGGATTTTTAGAAGGGTTATCTGCAATATAGTTACCCTTGCATGCATTTTTTAAGCTTCATGCTGTAATTCTGTGGGGGAAATTACAAATCAGTGTAGAAGACCAAAAATAATTACAAACACATAGAGGAGGTGCAACTTTTTCTGTGCAAAGAAACCATAACAAAAGTCGCAACCCCCAACTTTTGGTAAATAATTTCCCCACTGCCCAATGTCTTGCAATTTGCCTAATTCTGTGTAATATGGTCCATCGACTTTGTATGTCCTCTCATATTTTTTGCAAAAGGTCCTACTCAGCGTGGCACATCAAGATCTTGACATGCACTCTTTCTTCGCATTTTTTTTAAACAAATACTTCTTTTGCCAATGGAATCTGCTCAGTGTAATATACATCAAGATCTTGACATGCACTCTTTCTTCGCATTTTTTTTAAACAAATACTTCTTTTGCCAATGGAATCTGCTCAGTGTAATATGCCCATCGATTTGTTTGTCCTCATATTTTTTTGCTGATGGGTCTACTCTGTTATATGAGTGAGTCACATCAAGATCTTGAAATGTACTCTCTTTCTTCGCACAACATTTTCTTATTAGCATTGTTGTCTTCTTTTCTTTCCTTTTTGTTTGAAAAAAAAAAAAACAAAAAAACAAAAACAAAATTGTACTTCTTCTGGAAATGGAACTAAAAACACCACTAGGCATACATTAAAGCTGCGGGATTGAAGGAAGTTTTCTTTTCTTTTTATTTTATTTCCGTCTCTCTTGAATACTTTTTCCTGCAGTCTGCATTGAGACAATATATATTGCATACATGCATCCATCGTGAGTCCTGTTTTTTTTTTTTTTTGTGGCACCTCGCTCTACGAGTTTTTGCCTGATAACAAAATATTTGACACCTTTGGTATGGAATTGCAATCCGAGACTTAAATAATATGAGAACTCTTGTTTATGTCCTTGTAGTTGGGAATTGGTTTGGGAGAATTAAGATAATGCAGGGATGATCATTCCTTCACCCTTGAGTTTCCTAAGAAATTATATAGAATGTATTGATCCATCATTATGCTCGTATTGTGGTTCTCATTGTCAATATAGGTTGAGTTGATACTTGAATTATTACTCTAATCCATATGGCTTTATCACCTGAGAGGCTGGCTATCAAATTTGGCATCTTGTGTTTGCAGGGTCGTTTTGAGATACTTTCCTTGACCGGGTCATTTATGCCTAGTGATATTGGAGGAGCAAAAAGCAGATCTGGTGGGATGAGTGTTTCTTTGGCAGGCCCAGATGGTCGTGTTTTGGGGGGAGGAATCGCCGGCCTTTTAGTAGCTGCTAGCCCTGTTCAGGTTAGATTATATTACAAAATCAGAAAAAGAAACTAAAAAGAAAAGAAGATATTCCAAATATCCAATTGGCCATTAATTTGTGATTCTTTAATTTTCACTGTTAACAATGTCTACAAACATTAACCTTTTAACAAATATTTCTTTTTTTAATCATGTATATAAAACGTATGTGAGATGTTATGTGATGGTTTTAACCCCCTATAAGGGCAAGTGGCAGCCTATGTCACGTGATCTTGGGTATGGGTGTGGGTGTGTGCGTATCTTGAGGTCAGACCTTGTCAAACTTAAAATTTAAGAGTACGCGGACTTTACAAAAAAGGGTCATGTTTTTAGTCTATTGGCTTGTTTTGGGAAGTAGGTTAAAAGCTGGTTTTTTGGCCTTTTTTTTTTTTTTTTTGCTTTTTTTGAAAAAAAGGTGTAAAAAAATAGAGAGACGATGTGACTCAAAAAACCTAAAAAGCCAAGAAGTTGACTTTTAGCCAGGTTCCCAAAACAGATAAAATGGTGTTATATGTAACATAGTCAAGAAGACATTTTACTCTTTTTATAAAAGTTATGTAACAATATATACATGTAATGATAGTGTTAGATACAAACATATAGAAAGTGTATGATGGAAAGTCTCGTACAAATATCCTGCACCCTTGTCTAAGTGTCAGGTGTCCGATATGGGTATTTAATTTATTTGAAAAGTTCATGTAACATATGTGGCCTGCTTTGTTTTCTGTGACAGATGCGCGATAAACCTTGACTAACAAATAAATGGACTCTTTTTTTGCATTTGCTGCTCATGTTCAGAGAGTGATGACTTGCATTACTTTCTAACGTTTTTTACTGCATCAGGTTGTGGTTGGGAGCTTTTTACCAGGCCATCAGATGGAGCAGAAGCCCAAGAAGCAGAAATCTGAGCACAGAGCAAACTTTTCCCCAACCCCTTCTAATCACAACTCCGGAAAAGGAACAGAGGGAGTGTATGGAGGACCAAAGCCGATCCTCTCACCTCCCACTTCCTTCCACGGAGATAGGATGGCTACTACTCCAAACTCCATTTACGTTCCGAAGAATTTAGGCACTGAAAATGAAATACCCATGCCCGGAGCCGAATCTAAAGACCCTGGCCTACAGAAGTTGGAGGTTTCTTGCTGATCATGCATGCACTTTGTACCTTGCTTGTATCTCGACTTCCTTATCTGACCTTCTCATAAACTCATTGACTCGTCATAGGACAAAGTAGGGCTTAACATGAGGCCAGTTTTATAAGCTGGAGTTGTATTTGTAGGAACTAGGGTTAGGATGACGGTACCACGATCTAGTAGGGCTTATTCTACAGTAGTCGTTGTTGTCGTCATATGTTGTGTTGTTTCATTTGTTGATGTAGAATTTTTAGATGTATTATGACACCTTGTTTGTCAATCTTTCTGACTTCACTGTAGCTGAAAGATTGAAATATTTAATTGGATTCTGTTTTATTAAGAATTGACTTTGTATGTTGTGAAATATATGGAGCTATGTTCTTTGTTTAGCTTTGAGCAAATCCAATTTAGCTATGATTAAACACTGTTCACACTATCTATAGACAATTTAGAAAACAAATTTATCATCTATGAGGCAATCATAAATTCAAGATTATTTCTTCTAATTAATGAATTGTAAATGGCTTGAAATAAAGGGAAAAAAAATTTATATGGCCTTGAAGATATTGCATATTCTCTCTAAAAACCTAATGCTGTGTTTGTTTGAGGGATTTAGGGAGGGATTTAGAAAGGAAAAGGGAAAATGTGTGTGAAATTATGTGAAATGTAGGTATATTTTATTCACATTTCGCATTACTTTTTTCTTTTTCTTTTCAAATTTCTCTTCAAATCTCCCAAATTCACTAACCAAACACAGCGTAAATGGTTGATCCTAACATATGGGTCTTTTTCAATGTATTATTATTGTTACTTTTCTTCTCCTGATTGGAAACAAATCTCATTACATGTGAGAAATAAAATTATACTCTTTTCAATTCTTATGGTGATGAGAGTCTTGTGCATAGGATTGTCCGCCATTTCTTTTATTTTTTCTCTTGCAAAACTTCCCCAAATGCAAGTGGATGACTGCTCAGTGCTCTTTGATTTATGTGCTAAATTATAAATAGCGTCACTCTCCAAAAAAAAAAGATGAAAATGAAAAAGGTGGAAAAAGAAGTTCAAAGTAGAATGAAGAAGTTGATCTTGTTTCCTTCCAATTCTCGGGTAAAAAAAAAAGCCAATTTGTAAGTTGACTTTGTGGTGCTTTGGAAAGTTGATAAAAAGTTAACTTTTTGATTTTTTTAGTGACTTTTTTGACAAAAAATTGAGTTATTTTGAGTAAAAAAATTGACTTTTTTTTGACTAAAAAAGCTGAAAAACCAAAAAGCTGACTTTTTTAGCAACTTCCAAGAGTATTTGTGTTTTATTTTTTCTCTTCTTTTTGTTCCCTTCCTTGGCAGACTCCTTGTCCCCCTTCTTGTACTTCATGTTTTTATTAGTATTTTTTTGTTGTTGCTGAAAAAATAAAAATAAAAATAAAAATAATCACTTAACCCATATAATTTATGGGCTAAATGCATCGTTACATTTTTCATTTAAATTAACAAGAAATACCTATATTTCTAAATGGTAGGGGTTTAAGTGCACATGGCCTATACCTCATAAAGTGAAGGTTTATTTCATAAAAACTATAAATAAAAAAATAATAATAAACAAAAAAAATATGAAAGTATTTAGGTTAATTTACAAGTGTTGTTATTAATGAAAATTGATGGTGCATTTTTAGTCGACAAACTACAAGAGTCAAGTGATTATTTCTAATTGATAGGAAATTAAGTGCACATAGCCAATTTGCCCAAATTTCTTTGCATACAATGCCAATCATTGTTACAAAAATATATCACCCATGACTTGGGCATTAAACAAGAAGTAACCTCATTCACATCATGTTGCTGCAAACTCTTTTATCTTTAGACTATTATTAAAGAAGATGGTCCTCAACTTCTCTGCCTTCCAGCCTCTGTTGATCTTCTGATCAATGAATTCTTTTCTTCTACTCTTCTCCTCAGTTCATCATCTTCTTCATCTTCAACTACTGCATTTATTTCATACAACACACTAACTTCTGTTGATGCTCTGTTCTTGTCCAAAGATCATTTATGGTTTGCTTCTTTTTTGTGTCATTCATGTGATTTGTATGGGAAACAGTTGGGGTATGAATGAGACTGACTTGGTCAAACTCTCAGATGGGTTTCGAGCCACCGACGAGTAAAATTACTATGATGAAATTGCAGAAACTGAAGATGAGCAGAGAATTAGAAGCAGACAGATTGATCAACAAAATTGTGGAATTAAACATTGTTGTGGAGAGATGGAAAAATTACAGAAATCCAATGAAGAAGAACAAGGGAAGAAGAACAGGGGATTGAGATTGTCAGGAGAGAGATGACAACAGTTTCTTCAAATATCAATTATCAACCTAATGTATTCTATACATAGAAATAAGGATAATAAGGATAAAATATAATTTTAATGTAAAAGTGATATCATTTTCCATCCATATGACTAATACATAATCAACAATGCTTGGGATCCTAAGAGATTGACCAAGAAATCTACCAACTTATCATTTTTCATACACTATTGATGAAAATGGTGTCAAGTGCAGTATGAATTAAAATATTTGAAGAGCTCACTGTAATTATGCCAAACTTATGGATTATTAATTCTTATGCCAAACTTGCCAAACAAAAAAATATAGTATCAATAATAAATAAGTTCAAAATAAACTACAAAACTTTTTGAAACTGAGTTTGGGATACTTTTTTCAAGAAATAGTAATAATTCAGCTTAAGATGTAGGCAACTAATCTTCTCCTTGTCAAACAAATGAATAAAGATGAGACAAAACAAATAGCAACAATTGAAATACAACCCAACCCATCAACACCACAATGCCAAACAAATGAACAAAAAACAGCAAACTTTTTAACAATAAAGGTTGACAACATCAACAGCTAGCAGTTTCTGATTCAATAATATGAATAATAACTCTGTATTTCTGTGTATTGTATGTGATGTTATTACAAGAGAAATCAACTCTCTCTTTATAGAGAGAAGCAATATACATTGGATTCCAAATGATGGGCATTACCACCGAAAGAGAAAAGAGAAAGCTATACAATTGGCAATATTATATTAACAGCAACAATTGAAATACAACCCAACCCATCAACACCGCAATGCCAAACAAATGAACAAAAAACAGCAAACTTTTTAACAATAAAGGTTGACAACATCAACAGCTAGCAGTTCTGATTCAATAATATGAATAAGAATGATGATGATGACAACAACTGCAGCAACAACTGAACAAATCCAAGATTCTCAATCAACACTGTTCAGCTCCTTGATGTAGCAAAATAATTTTAAAGCCAAGAGAACATATCAACTCACCAATAAAATGGTCATACACCAGACAGAAGTACTTGAAGATGAGTAAGGTCTGTGCCAGTTTCACGTGTCACTCGGATTGGAAAACCGAAATATTTATAGAAATTCAATGCAATGTTGAATGTCACTAGAAAAATATCTCAATAGTTTCAAGCTTACATAACTAATAAATAAGTGTGTGCATGTGCAGTGAGAGGCTTTCTCAGTAACATAGATTTCTTAGTTAGCATTTCTATCAAATCACAGAACCAAAAAAAAAAGAAAGAAAAAAAAAAGAGTAAATCACTTCTTCCTTTTTTTTATTTCTGGAGAACTTAGATTTGTCGAACCCCTCTTGCATCATTTGTAGTCTCAGCCGTATTCTGTTTCTTCATCCCTTTTCGTCCTCCAAATCCAAACTTGGAATCCTTAAAACCCCTACTCTTCCCCTTTCCACCGGCCCCTTTCATCACCTTCCTACCGCCTTGTCTCGCCTTACCTCCAGAGCAGTCTCCAGGACCCACCCCTGGCCCCTTCTTATTCGACCTTTCAAACGACTTTCCATCTTCAAAACTCAAACCTATCTCGCCATCTTTGTCATCCCCGGCAAACCCACTCTGCTGCCTCTGTTTCCTCCATTTCTTAACCGATTCTATCTCCTCCTTTTTCTGCTTAGCCGTCTCTTTGAGCTTCTGAGCTTGAACTTCCTTAGCTATTTTATTCACATTTCACCTACCTTTTCCATTTCCCTTTCCAAATTCCTCCCCAAATCCCCTAACCAAACACAACAAAACTGTCACCATGTGGGTATCACTTTTCACCATATCGGCATAACAGTCAGAAGGCCTTAAGAAAGGAAGCTGCATTGACTGAAACTTCACAAAGGCCTGTCTTGTACCTTCCAATGCTTGTGTGTAGAAAGCAAGCTCACGTGCCAGATCATCATTCACGTCCACCTCTTGTTGCTGATCAATGTCGAGGGAAAGTGTGTGTAACCATTCCACATTCTTGGGCCAGCCAATATCTCCAAGTTTATCGAGAAGACCATCCCTCTTGTATATGGAGTTCTTTGAAGGTTCTGTCAATTTCACATCTTCGTCTTCTGATTCTGATTCAGAAACCTCCTCATCAAGATTCTCCACCGCATCATCATCCATTGCGTCTTTGTTTAACAAAACCGGTTCTTTAATGAGTACATCCATTAAATATCTCTATCAACATAAAAAAAAAAAGAAAAAAAAGTGCACCATTATACTTGGAGCTCAAAAAAAGCAAATATATAAATGTAAAAAAGGGATGAGAGAGGGAAGGGGGTGGGGATTCCTGCTTATCAGACATCTCTTAAATATTACTTCAAGATACAAAATGACCCCAAACATGTCATACTTTCTTCTTTCACAAAATTAAACCAGATTGAACAGTTATAAATATGAGAAATGACACAATTGTAACAATAACTTGGTCCAATCTTGAGAGACAACAGTATACCCATGCAAGTTTATCTTCCAGAAGACATGTAATCGACCTCGTAAAAATTAGGTAATCTGATTTTAGAGTTTGATGTAGGCTGTGTTCCTAGCCTTAGAGGACACCCATGAGAGCATTTCCAGGCAGAGAAGATGCGCAAAACAAAAATAGGAAACGAAGTCCAAAAGCATAAATCAGGCATGATGCAGATCGGAATCATATGGTAAACCAAAAGAAAATATGAATGAGATACTTGTGCCTAGAGTGGAAAGAAAATTTGACAAAGTCGGATAATGCACAAATTATACTAGATTATAACAAGAACTATACATTTCAGAACATACAAATCGCATTCACCAGCAACATCATTAATACTGTTAGAAACTTCCATAAGCATTGGTGGAAATTTTGAAGCAATGCGCTAAAATTATCCCATTAAAACTTAGGAATTTTTGGATCATGTTTCTAAAAGGACTTGTGTCTTTCAAAGAAAAAAACAGTTTCTAAGAGATTCTCAAGGAACATGATCCTATTATCTCAGTGATAATATATACTTCAATACTACTATAAAATGTCTCTCTAGATGTCTAAAACATTTTCAAGACATTTAT